CTCTTTGACAAGACGAGCAACTTCAGTCTCCGATTTCTTGTTGCTGCCGGAATTCATCCAAGCCATGAGTCGATAGACGGACATATTAGGGAAAGGATACGGAGGTGGGAGAATGCCTGAATCAGTCTCTTGCACAGACGTTGGGCACGTAGTTGAAAGTAGCGAGGACGCGACAAATTTATCTGGCTCGAAGGATGGGCGACGAGGGTAGAGTCGGCAAAGTCCAAGAGAGTTGAAGGTGGTCTGAAATGTATCTCGTAACGTCAATAGAACTCTCTGGATTCTAGATTGAGATGGCTCTGGGTGTCGAGAAGGCGAAACATCGGTATTTTCCAAGTCATTGGTATCCTCGTCAGAAAGAGGGACATCCTCAAAACGTCTGGGTATTCGTCCCAGAGGGTGCCAAGGTTCTTCTGACAAGCGAAAAGCAAAACAAGTTATCAGTCGACTCGGGTGACTGACTCGGAAGGGTCGTGACACACCCAAAACATTGGTATTGAGTACGTTGTTGTCAGTATCAGACTGCTGCCGCTCCAGGTCCGGGTTTGACCCGGGTTGCTGGCCATGCTCAGGACCCACTGAGCCGACACTAGACATGCCAGCCTCAATCCAGTATCTGCTTGATGGTCTGCCAGGGCACGGAACGATGGGTTTAATGCGGACGCTCCCCATACGGAGCCGGATGGGCGATATGCTCTAGAAACACAATTGAGTTGTCATTATGATAACTTTGACCCGCTGCTCTGAATTATATACAAAAGGTTGCTCACCGAAGAGTTGCCTGAGCCTCGGTTTGTTGCTGCTGGCAACGGTCGTGCCAGAGTTATAGCTGCCTCTTTTGCCCTCTCGCGTCTTTTCTGGCTGCTCATGACGCTGGACAGGCGGTAGGGTTTGCATGTTGCACGGTGCCTACTAAGTCCTCGACTGTCGCTGGCCGCTTTCTCCCACGTGCATCCTGGAGCGTTGCAGGATATCACCATATAATCAATAAAGAGCAAAAGAAGAACAAGGCATAGAAGTTTTTTGTGCATTCGTCGGACCAGTGCTACTAGCTCTCAGCGACTCAGGTGCGAGCCAGGCTGACTCGATGATTGGCCCAGGGTGCCAGTGGTGGTGCTAGTAGTAGTAGTAGATCTTGCAAACTCGCAGGCAAAGACTTGCCCAGTCAAAGTTGTGAAGCACGTGGTGCCGGGTCATACCGTACTAATTTATAACCTGAACGTTCTCAGTGCTTCCAAGTTCGTTGAAGTGAACTTGCGTGAAGCAGTGCATGAAGTCCAGTTACCAAACTATCAAAATCATTATCGTGTTCTGCAGCACATTTAAGTTATCATTCATCAATATCAATCAGCAAGGATACATGCGTTTCGATCATCGTTTATAGGCTATATTTGTGGTGGATACAAGAAATGAATGAATGACGGTCATCTGCCAGATAATGACGGTGCATGATTACAACAATCCAAAGGTCACCGCTGAGAACATACAACTCCCGCCTTGCCATGTCAGTAAGTATTACAATGAAGAACAGCCTGAGAATCGCACCTTAGCCATTAGACTCCATGGCATCATATTCATCTACAAAATCATCCTCTGGCGAAGACGACATGACAGTGTTAACACCCTCAATATGACTCAGGGTTAAGTCGGCAACAGTGAACGACCTGGAATTGTGACTATGTGCACCCACATCGAAGTCCTTGGCAACTTCGAGATCCTCCCTGCTACATCCAACCAGGAAAGTCCGGAGAAAGGTAGCTTCCTTAGAGCTAATAGTATATCTTTCAACTTCTTCTTCGACGATCATTTCAAGAAGAGCCTGGTATCGGTCCTTTGCCTCGACTGCCCAAGCTGTTCCCAGAACGGCCATGCGCTTAGATTCACAGTCAGCTTCCTTAGCAGCAACAGCTTGAGTGAGAGCTTTCTTAGACAAGCGTTTCAAACAATCCTGCAAGATATCTTTGCCCTGGTTTTGGGCTTGTCAATTTCTATGAAAAAAATGTAATCAGGCTAACATACCGCTTGAATATCTGCCAGACTCATATCATTGTCACCAGATTCGAGGCACCTTCGAAAAAAACGGAGCTCTAATGCATTTGGCACGAAACCGTGGGGCTTCCCATAAGGCCTAAACTTTCTTTGTGCACGCCCCGCTAAGCTAGGCAGGCGCTCCATAATGTCGGAAGGAGGGCGTGGAAATGCAAAGAGCTCATGTGAGTCTGAGTCAGGGGAGGTGTCGCTGGATGGTGGTGATCGTCGATGATTTCTAGAGCGTACGGAACGTGCTACTGTACGGCTGCGTCTCTTGCTGCGGTAAGGTGTAGGGTCAGGCGGAGAGCTGGGTGGAGCCCGAACGATAATTTGAGGAGACTCGTCACTGCTATCGGGTTCATGACTAGACTGTCCGACAGAGCTTGGAGGAGTGGAGAGCTGGGTGTGCACAGCAACAGCCTGAGGGCTACGCATCATAGTTGGTTTGACTTGACCGGGACTCAGGGAACGGTCACGACGAGGTTATGAACTTGGGCGACAAGGCGGGGATTGAAAGACCGTGACAGTGAGAACTTTCCATAAGAATTTATCACGTGTCTGAGAAGTCCACTGCCTTCTGGCGACCGAGTCGAAGATGTCCTACTGCCATGACCGTACTGAGTCAGTCAGGTGTGATTCATTTGAATTACCGTCACAAATCGGGTTCTCACATCTGGCTCCAGGCTTCTGAAGTGACTCAAGAGAACTCGAAGTTGTTTCAGGTTCACGGTAAACGAGCCGAGTCGTGCTGCGGCTTCAACTGACTTTCTAAATCAGGTCACAGGTTCCGAGTCATGTGGCAGGCTGCTGCTGCAATCATGGCCCACTGGCCATCACTCACCATGTTGATAGGTCACTGTGGTACTGAATTGCAATTGCAAAGTTCAAGTCGAAACCTCGTGCTGCTACTAGTACTACTAGTAGTAGTACGAATCTGACATTGAGTCCGATGGTCACAATTCAAGTTCGGAATTTACCATGCCTCCATTTGCTGTTCGATAGATGGATAACGAGTGTTAACACTCGTTATCCATCTATCAAACCCTTTTCCACTAGTGACTCCCATCTAATGGACCAAGACCATGATCTGCCTCACCAGCCTCCGCCTAGTCGGCCCACTTCTCAAGACCCATTTGACTGGATGCACAATGCCTTTGATTTTGACAACCCCGTAATCGAGGGGGGACCACCGATTTCACAGTCTACCGTAGATTTGCAGGCTTACTACTCACATCTCAGCTCTCCCCGCGTCCGTCATGCACCCTATATCACATCGCAACGGCGCCATCGCCGTGATAGGCCATTATCTCACCCTACTGCTGTAGAACAAGGTGAAGAAGGGCCGTCTCAAGGTGTGGCATTCAATGGCCCATCTCCTGTGCTCCGGGGTGTGCCACCTCCCACGCTGGTAACAGCGTCTCCTGCACCATCCCCTGCACCACCTCCTGCACCATCCCCTCTGCCACCTCCTGCGCAATTCCTTGCAATTTCTGCACCATCTCCCGCACCAGCAGCTTCAACTCAGACCGTGCCAGCCGTGCCTTCAATCTTTTTCGGTCTTTCCGATTTAGATGAAGTGAAGGCAGAGTCCTTGTTTCAGATGAAATGTGGTCTTCTTAACAGCTCCTTCCTGCCGAAAGACAGCTCAGACGTAGCAAGGATGGCAAAGGTGTGCATTACCGCCCAGGTGTCCCACAGCCGTAGGTCTCTGGACTCGGCGTGGACTATCCATTGCTGATCGACCACAGCTGAACTTACTGCCTGGTCCAACACGAAAGATGGCAAACTAGAGGCCACTAAATTGTGTACTGCGCTGACGACACTTCGAAAAAATATAAAATTTCTCGCTCGCAGTGCTGCGCTCTGGGGGTACAACTTACACCAGTTAATGCACACGGAAAGAAAGCTTATGGTGAAGAATTTTGTAAAGAGACTCATAAAAGATAATTCCTACCTTAGAGGTACTGTCAATGCTCGTTATTTTGTTCTAGTTTCTTGTCAATGACAGCTCATGTTAATTTCTTCAGGTCAATGGAGAAAACGTTGACATTCCTTTTGCGAATGTAGCACTACTGTATTTCATCCGGCAGCTACTCTTCCACGATAGGCAGTACAAACAATTTATTGGCGAGAAACAGAATCTCCAACCGCTGTTTACCTATACAAGTGTTTTGTTCAAGTGGGCGTTAACCGAAATGTCCACAGGAGTTTTCCAAGATATAGATTTCAAACTTAACGAGGCTACTACCGAACATACCGCCATGGAAAATCTATTCAAGACATTGACACATGAGCAGATCGTTGCGCTCACCGCAAGCGTTTATAACTAAGGTGAGCAGCCCAGGTGGACAAATCATGCAATAAGACTGAAACTGCGACTAGTAAGGGTCTGCAGAGGAAGTGCGAATGAGATGTACAATGCGAAAAAGAGGCAATTCACCTAGGCTGCAGTAGTGGCAGTACTCGCCCGCAGGACTCATTACCATAGAGGCAGCGGCAATATTAATACGTAAGAAATGTTACCTTCCAGACTGCGCACAATGTACTTCGCCTCGAAGTCCTGGCATGCGGCGAGGAGCTTTGTGATAATTGATACCTTCTTTGCCTGGGACTGTGGGAGAGGGAATGGTACTAAGTCTTTGAGAACTTGTACAGGCATGAGGAACAAACCGAATGTCCAGATGACAATGCAACCTCCCGTAAGTCGAAAGGAACTGTAAGAGGCTTGGGTTTAAAGAGTGTCTTCTGACTGTTTTTGGAGTTCTGTGAATGGTGTAAGCTCGTGGTCAAGGTTAAGGAGAGTAATGGCCGAGCACCATTGCCACGAGCCCGAGATCGCCTTCTTTCTTGAGGTCTGCTTTGACTGTTGCAAGGCCGCCGCGTCCTGTGGACTCGCTGATGGCTTTGATGAGCAGGCTCTCGCCGATACCCAGTCCAACACCAACATAATCTGGGCTTAGCTACGTCTCTTAGCACACGAGAATAAAATTATCAAATAGAAAAGAACTTACGCGGTTTATGCACAGGTATACAGACTGTCTGCGAGATGGCAGACCGAAAAGAGAAATGAAAACCACCAGCACCGAAGTCTGCACGCCTCTTCCTCCGATGGTCTGTAGTCGAGGACCGCCAGGTGTCGATGGGCGCGTGCTGGGAGTTTGACGGCCGCTTGGTGTCTCGTTCCTTTTCTCTCCCCTTTCTCTGCTCTCCACTACAAGTCGGAATACGCTGTGACTTCGACTACTCCGCTCATTCCGGTCAGTGCTAGTTGTCCTTCTGTTCCTTTCTCCTCGCTCAAGGACTTCTTTGACGCTCTTCGAGCTTGTCACGGCTTCTTCTCGAAGCGGTACTAGAATACCCGAACCCTGAATTTGAACGGGCTGAGCAGCAGACATTGAAGGTGGCGCGAGTAGGTCATATATCGTTTCATCGTAAATTTCGAGGTAAGAACACCAAAGAAGATATTCATGAGTGGGTGTGCAGCGGATGTAACCAGGAAAGCGGCAAAGGATCTATGGCGCAAACGTGAGATCGACTGGCCGGACATTAGGTTCGGAACAATATCTAGGCCTACCAAAATTCCAAGCTTTCAGGAGCGTGCGACTATCCTTTCCAAAAAGGAAATTTCACCACTAACCTCCGATTCGCTCTTCAGTAAACGACCACCACTTACCTTCTTATACTTGGCACTGGAGCAGTTGCAGACGCACTGGCTACGGGCATCAAGCAGACAGGTGAGTGCCTGACTTTGATTTGAGCATGACCCTTCCTCCACTTTCTTGATGTTTCTTTGGCACTTGTCAGAGGCTGGTTGTGAGCCCGGCACCGTGGCGAGGTTGTGAAGCTCGGTACGGCCGTTTGCCCCGAAGCTGAGTGACCACCGCGCGGACCAAGGCCACACAGCTTGGCAGTCGCACAGGCTTGGTGCGGCCTGCTTGTCCCCAAGGCAAGCGCGCTGCTTGGCCTCGCACACTGCACTTGGCCATTGCAGAAGCTCGGTACGGCCGTTTGCCCCGAAGCTACCTGCACGGCCTTTTGCGCTTGCCCTTTGCTGTTGAATTTTATTTGGCCTATTTGAAGCCTGCCCTTACTTTGAAGCCTCTGACAAATTTGGGTGTAGTGAATTGAGATGGTCGCAAGTTTGACTGCTGAATGCGGTTCAGAGGCCACGCGTGAGTAGCCGCGCTGAGTTGTTTCTTGACTCACAACTTTCCCGATGCCAACAGGGCTTGCCGTAGAGGCTGTGGTGAGTCGGTGGTAGGTTAAGTCCTCAGCCTTGATGCCTGCAGCTCATGGACGATTGCAATTGACAGCTTCCCACCACTTCAGGACGGCGCGGCTCCGAGGGCTGGCATACAGGGCTTCTCTACTGAGGGTATGTCCCTTGAGCAGGTAGCCCTCTTGCGCCATGAGTCAAATCAAGATCAAAACCGCGACCCAGAAGTGGAGGAGCTTTTGAAGGGCGCAGTGCACGGTGGCCCCAAGTCAGAGGTGCCTCGCACATCAGATGCTTATGAAGGGACGGGGTGAGCCATCCCTGCACGCGCGTGCCTTCAAACTCACAAGGCTTTCTCAGACCGATGAAGCGATCATTTGACAACCGATTCCCGCCGCGCGCTACCCCTGCAAAGAAGGTAAAGCTTGAGGGCGCTGCTGACCCCTCAAGTAAGGCCCTTCCTTCGCGGTCCAAGCCTGCGTACACCCCGCGTGAGCATACCAAATCCCAGGCTAAGGTGAAGAGGGATGCGAGGCGTCGTGAGCTACAGCTTCAGAGCCGCGCTCGCAAGGCTGAGGAGCTCAAGTCCAAAGGTGGCCTGGATGCGCTCACCTTTCGCACCTCCAGCACTGGCTGGCAGGGCACGAACTACGGATCCACGAAGGAAGGTAAGGAGCTCATAGCTCAGTGGGAGGACTACAGCATTCTTCTACGCCTAAAGGACTTTGATAGAGTTCCCTACTGCGGGTAGGCGTTTCATCTCCTTCATACCTCAGCCTCTGAGCCCATGTACTCTAGCTTGAAGACTCGCATTAGGGACTCTCAAGGGCGGCTGTGGCTGGTGCGCACCTTTGTTGGCGAGCGTATTGAGGCGCTTCTCCCGGCATTTGAAAAGCAGGCCGCAGCATTTGTAAGCACCGTTGAAACCAACAGGAGTGGCTTTACAGAGGCTGAGATGGAGGAGAATTCAAGAGGATCTCATTGGAGTAGCATATGCGGGCATGACAGGAATTCTAAACAGGTAAGCTTCAAGATGCTTATGACCTAAGCTCTAACTCCAAGCCTTAAACAGGTGCCCACCCTCGCAGCCTGGCATTCCTCAAATGCTGAGGCTGTTGACGCACTTTGGAGACCTGACGGTGCAATGTTTCAGATAAGGCAGGCCTTGCACTCCGTCCCACTGCCTGAGCCTCACACCTCCTCTAGCGCCATTATGAACCGAGTGTTTCGGGCCGAGTTTCCCCTGCTAGCAAAGAGATACGCGGACTGCTCACAAGCCCTGGGCATCAGCCCTCTTTATGGTCATTTTTTTAGCTTCTGCCTTAATTCTGCAAGAGCAGGGGTTGAGAGAGTTCACTGCAGTCCCCACGTGGACTGGAAGAATATTGCAATAGGCGTTTGCGTTGTCTTTGTATACGGTAAGCCTCTACCTCAGTCAGCTCTTTAGTTCTGATTTCAGGCAACCTAGGCAAGTTCAACAGCAAAGAGCGCTCCTGGCTTGTGATATGGGAGGCTGGTTTGATCTTGGAGATGCCGGCAGGTGTTTTTGTCATGTACCCCTCCTCCCTCTTCTTTCACTTCAACGTGGACGTTTGCGGTAGGCGGTTTACCCTGCTAGATGCAGGCTTTTGCTAATACCTTTGTCATCAGATCTTAAGCTGGTGTGCACAGACGGTAGGCCTCCTACCCCAGAAAATTCTTCTTTATTAGATGGAGGGAATGGAAGAGGGTCATGCGTTTGGTTTAACCAATCGAGCATGTTTCAGACTGCCGAGCTAGGCTTTGCAACTATTGCACAGGCTAGGGAGGCAGGAGTCCCTTGTAACTCTGATTCTTCCTCTCTTATTAGCCGAGGATTTTTTCCATTAGCTTGAAGTTATAAGGTTACCAATCCCCATCCCACAAAATTCTCGCTAGGAAGCTTTCAAATACTTCATCACATAGCTCAAAATCGCATACCAGAAAAGTGTTTCGGCGCATGACAAATGTTTTTGTCACAAATGAAAGTTTTTGTCACACTGGCAAATGTTTTCGTCATGCGAGCAAAGTTTGGTAACATTTTTGAAAGTATATTTTTGTCCAGTGGGGTCCCAGTCTGCCAAGTTAATGTCACTCTCCGTTGATCCTCATCCTCTTACTGCCTGAGCTTCAACGTCTCCTGGTGGTAGGTGGCATTTTCAATGTCATCATCATCAGTTAACGTGACGGTGGCGGCAGCCCCATAATGGGTGTTCCGCAATAATAGATACGTCATTGAGTTCCGGAGTCTGGCGTTTGTCAAGTCGCTCTGATAGTTTGACTACAATGATACCCGGCTCTAGGGAGCCAGATATGACATTTCATATTTATTTGCTCTAGCAACCATGCACAGACAGTACTAACTACTAACAGCAGAGATCCTGCACTACTTATGGTTAAATCGATACCGTAAGCATCATCCGTCGCCGTGATATTAATTTTCTTCCCGGTAGTGGTGCCGCAGCTAAACTCGGCAAAAATCATTTTAGGCCACAATGGATGTGATCATTGAGCTGTAGTTAGTTAGTCCCCCTCGGCAAGATGTTTGCGATCACTAATTGCTCAGCCATTGATGTTTACAGATCCTTCGTCGTGTTTATAAAAGTCACGGTGAGTTTTAACTTTTGTCGTTGTGTTTTCTCGACATGTCCCGCGACGCTCTCAGGCTACAGTCTTCAATTAAGTCTATGGTCAATTCAATTCCTTCTGCTCGTCAGCGTACTCGTGCGCAAACCGCAGCTTTCCTGCTCGGTGCTTATCCGGAACTGCCTAGTACTCAGGACAAGGAAATCAATCGCACGCGTGCAGTTCAGCATCTCTACGAGGGAATGGCTGAACAGCGGACGCCATCACCGGTAGACGAACTTACTGCACAACGGTGTCAGGCCCAGCTCGAGAAAAGTAAGTTAAATGCGCATATGAGTATCAGGTCCAACGAGATGCTGATCATGTCACCACTAGTCGAATTTAGAGTGCCTCTTCACACTCTGGACAGAAACCAGTCAACTACTTACGTGGACCGCTCTCATTCTGAGTCAGATTGTCCTATAGACATACTTGACTCCATCAAGGCCACAATGGATGTCTCAAAGACATACCAGCACTTAGGCTGGCGTTTGTCTACTGCCCGCCGCATAGACCCGCCTCATCGACTTTTAACAACGCATGACATCAATAGCGCTTTCAAAGCTGCGAGGACGGAACATGGTTCTGGCAGAAAAACAAAGAAAGTTGCCATTGAAATCGTCAATACTGTAAGTGCTTTGATGTTTGCAAGCGGTCTGCGTAACGTGACATTAACTTGCAGGCTGTACGATTGAAAGAGAAGCAAACACGGCAACAGGCAGGTACATCTTCTGCGGGCGGATATACAAAGGAGTTAGAAACAGTCACGAGCACATTGCGCTGCTCGGACCATCCGAACCTCGGAGAGGACACGTTCTGCTGGGTCGATGCATCCCAGCCCAACACCCCGCACTATCCGCTGTGCACCCGGGACCTACAAGACTGGGCTAAATATCTGGTACGTGTATACCCACCCACCTGCGAGGATACGACATGGCGCTCATGGTTTTTAGCATGAAACTGGAGATTTAGACTTCGTCACTTTACCTAGGACACCTCATTTCAATGAAGTTCGAACGACGCGTAAAGAGCGAACTACCGTGTTGTCACCGCTCCAGAGGGTGCCCACTGAAATTATATCACCCGTTATCCATAATCATATCCACCTCTCACCCGCCACCAATGACACAATCTCCGATGGAATGTTTACGAGAGAACGAGGAGAAGGCTATACGGCTCCCCAGCCACTCAAGAGGACTTTTGCGCTCTACATGGAGAGTGACGAAGAGTCTGACGACGACGAACTTCCGCAAGGTATTGAGGACGTCCTTAGGACTGTCCATTCTCGCTACCCTGCGATGAACTTTCCCCAATATGTTGATAAACTGAAGGATCGCGGCATTTTTTATTTACCCACCGCAGCTCATTTCGGTATCAGATTCTATGAAGAGAAAGTCGGAATGTCAGAGGGATCTGCATATACCTTTCAAAGTTGTATTTGTAAATCTTACGAGAGGGCAGAACTTGCAAAGGAGAGAAGGAAAACCAAAGGGAAGAAGAAAGCACGGGCTCACGGCAACGAGAATGAAGAAAACATCCACCCTATTAGCTTTTGATCAATGTGTAGCTCGCCTGGCTTTTATTTTTGTTTGTTAATAGTCTCTACTACCACATGATAATAGAGATAACCCCCTGACGTGCAGTCGACAATAGTCGACATGCAACGTGAAGTTTATATCTAGAGGGCCAATTTTGCACATTATGTTAAAAAGAACTCGACGTACAGTCGACGATAGTCAGCATGTAACGTCGAGCCCATGTCCAGGGTCAATGTTGCACATAGTAAGTAGTAGAGAACCCCCCGGCGTGCAGTCGACGATGGTCGGCATGCAACGCCAAGTCCAGGTCAATATCGCACATTAATATGAAAAAAAGAACTCGACGTACAGTCGACGATAGTCGGCATGTAACGTCGAGCCCATGTCCAGACTCAATGTTGTATATAATAACCCCCCGGCGTGCAGTCGACGATGGTCGGCATGCAACGCCAAGTCCAGGTCAATATCGCACATTAATATGAAAAAAAGAACTCGACGTACAGTCGACGATAGTCGGCATGTAACGTCGAGCCCATGTCCAGGGTCAACGTTGCATATAATAACCCCCCGGCGTGCAGTCGACGATGGTCGGCATGCAACGCCAAGTCCAGGGTCAATGTTGCATATAATAGTAGAGAACCCCCCGGCGTGCAGTCGACGATGGTCAGCATGCAACGCCGAATCCAAGTCTCGAGTCAATGGCCTGTCACAGACAACTTGCAGTGCAGTCGACGATAGTCGACATGCAACATGCAAGTGTCTGTGCACGTCCAAGTTTGAAAGTTGAACTTGAGCGCTTGAGCATTGAAGCGGAGGTTCAATTTATTTAAATTCAAACTGCGCTGACACCCTTACGATTACATAATGTCATGCTTTGTTTGCAGGTGTTGCCATTCCAAATCTATGCGCACTTTTCCAACTTTATCGCACGAATTTCACCTTGCCAAGGGTAAATTTCGTAAAGGGGATTTCTGGCAGGTTCAAACGTACAACCTCGGGCCCGCCGTGGCTGACTAAGCGCGCCTGCGCGCCCTCTTCGCTTCCCAACGTCGTCGTTCTGAGATTGTTTATTTGCCACTTCGTCTGGGCTCCAAAGACTTAAACCTCGAAGGAGTCAGTTTGAGAGCAATCAACATGTATTAATTATGGGTATGGTATGTACAGCAGTTCAGTTCTAACTCTGTCATGCTCTCACTGTGAGTTTGCATTAACAGCATGGACAGGACGACGGTCAGTCCGAGTCTATACAGAAACCGAACGGCCTTTTGAATCCAGTGTGTGACAGGCTTTAACTCATATTGCGTGCGCCGTGAATGTGTCACTTCTAGACTAATTTACTTCGGCTGAAATTCGCAATTCTGACTAGCGCCCGCGGCAGGCCAGCGCCCTGAAATTTACAGATTTACGAATTTACGAATTTACCAGGTGTACCGTGTTTTACTACCAGCATTTGGTGAGTCTGTCACTTAAACTCGACTTAACTCGACTTAGCTCACCCAAACCTGACTTAACACCGACTTAGGCTCGACAATGTGCGCTCTAACCCTCCTCTGAGGTTGCAGCCATGCTGCACACGCTCAGTACAACAACTCGCGCTGCACCCCGCGCTGGCCAACCCATGCCCCAACAAGCTTGGTCCTGGTGAGTTTTTTTTTCATTGTCAAACCTTTATTCTGACCCGTCATGAATTGGGCTGCGCAGAGTGCAGCAAATCATACGTTTTCCCAAAAAAACAGAATATCCACAAGCATGAGTTACCGAGCATGTGCAAACTTAGAATCTAGTAGTCGGAGTGATTCTCTGACACCATCTGCATTTACCTCCCGCATTCTTCGACGTCCACACTCGATCAACACCTCTTGCGGAACGAGCCTTGGTGGCGAGGAGTGCTCTCTTTGCTGTTGGCGGTATCGCTCATGTGGATCCGTCAGTAGCACCGAATGATGATCTGGTGCCGTGGATCCACCCTGATGAGAATGTCCTGCCATGAGTGTGCTACGTTCAGGCGTGATGGATCCTGGCGCCGGTGATATTACCACCCGTGAGCCAGTGCACTTGGATCTACGAGCAACCACTTCGGCCAATAATGACAGATCTGCGAATGCGACATTTGGGTGTTCGGTCCTGACTTAGCCGTGCGTCTCATTTGCCCAGAGTGCAGAGATCCAAATCCAAACATTGTCGAAGAATTTGGGAGCGGGGATCTTGTGTGCGGAAGCTGTGGACTGGTCCTGGGTGATCGTATTGTTGATACAAGAAGTGAATGGAGGGTGAGTCTTATTGTCTCCTTTATTGTTGCGATAACCCTGCACCTATTATTATGTGTCTAGACATTCGCAAACGACGAAGGCGATGATCCTTCTCGATGTCCAGTCGCCACAACATCCTCAGTCATTGTCGCACTCCCCATTCATATTCCTACACACATTCGCGTTCTGGCTCAACTCATCAGTCTTTGAACAGCCCCATGTTCGCGACAACCGTGAGCTTAGCTCTTACTGCGCCGAACTTAGCGACGTTTGGTTCGATGAGCACCACCGAGAGTCCAGCTGCAGACATGAGCCAATTTGCAGAAAGACAAAAAGACAAGACAGCGCAGACTCAGTACAACAACTCGCGCTGCACCCCGCACTGGCCAACCCATGCCCCAATAAGCTTGGCCCTGGTCGCAGCTAACTGCTCTCAGCATACACCACACGGACCACATGGACCCGAAACTATTCACCCTGCTCTCGCACCACACGAACCACACGGACCCCAAGCTATTCATGCTGCCCTTGCTCTCGCTCTCGCACCGCACGAACCACCAGTCGTGCGTGGTGGCTGTACAAGCCCCTAACAATTTAGCAATGCTCGCTCCTATCCATTAACCACCACCACCACCACCACCCCAATCACTGTCGAGAACGACAACCACAGGTACTATGGCTGATTTGTGGAAGGTGCGTGCCCTAGTGCTATGTCATCCACTGTGGTCTGATAAGTTGGTTTGTGTAGCTGCTTTCTCCCGTCGCTGAAAGGGAGACACTCACCAAATTCGCACTCGAGGAATTCAAGGGTCATGTGCAAGACAAAGATGGGTTGTCGATAATGGTCATCGGAGTTGATGCAGGGTAAGAAAATGGGCCGAACGGCTCGCAAAACCTCGCTAACCTGCCACTCCCCCCAGTTCCTGGCTTCACACAGTCTGCACCCCTCAATATCTTCCATTCATGCAGTCCAGCGAGAACCCTGAGCTGCGCCGCACATTGATGTATGCACTTGTTGCCCTGGCCAGTGCTCCTTTGCATGCCCACTTTGTGTTCGGCGGAGCAGACCGTCCTCCAATTTGGACGGCACCACCCTGGATTGTAGGATGTCTGCAAGAGCTGCTGCAGATCTTCGGGTTTACTTGGTCAATGGTGAGCATTGGTTCCTCCTCCTAAATGCTGTAGAGGCAGACTGAGTGCACACATCTGCAGGCCGACAACGAGGCTGAACGGGAGCTTGCTTCCTTATCCAAAGCTAACAAAATCTGTGCTGTACTGACTGAAGACAGCAAAACATTTACGTTTGGTGCCAAGCGAGTCATTCGACCGTGAGTTGCTGTGATCCTTGATTTGGTTTTTTCTGACTGTCTGACTGAGCCATTCACAGTGCTGTCAAGAGTGGTAGTGAAATCAGAGTCGACGTGTACCTGAACCCCACTACCCCTTCATCTGATGGTGACGAGCCTTGCGGCCCTTGTTTTACATCAACCCAGCCGAACCTCGTACATCTCGCTAGCTTTTGTAAGTCACGCCTAGGCTGGGAGTCCGAAAAAATACATGGCTACCTCCGGCGCAGGGTGTGGCAGGTGATATTCTTGCGTGCTTTTTGTCAGGTGAGGTGGCTTCCCTTGCCGCAGATTGCATCACTCATCTGAAGGCATAGTTCCCTGCAAACGGACTTTGTGGGCCACCACCAAAGCCGTCTTTCTGCATCAACCGGCAACTTGAGATTGATGGTGGTGTGTCGGCCTACAATCTCACCATCTTTGCCCCATCTTTCGTCACGGCCATCAACCAAGGCCTTCAAGCAGGATGCAGCGACATTTGTGGATTCTCGAGTGTGCATGATGCTAGTCAGGCACCTGACCATGCGGCCTGGTTTCAAGCCGATGGAGGGTTCAATGTTCCTACCAGGGTGTTAAAACGAACTGCGCCTGAACAGGTTCTTGACTTCTTGGACCATGAAACACCTCCGTCAGTGAGTGCCATTGTGGTGAAGTTCACTTGCGGCATTGAACTGACAAGTGATACAGCATGTTCAGTCTCAATCACGGTCCATATCTCCGACTGACTGGCATCCTCGCCTGTCTGCGCAGTATGCTCAGGTGTCTGAATTATTGTGGCCAAAGGATGCAGCCAGTGCAGAAGGGAGCCGCACGAGCCACATGAACTTGTAGATTTAGCTTTTTAGACTTTTGTACCAGGCTGCTGCTGTAAATACATCGTCCAAACTTCGTGCAGATGCACCGACAACAAATTGAGATCAAGTGTGAATTGATATTGGTATTGGTAAACAGACCAGACTAAAATTTAACTACCCCTATGGCTTCCTCCACGTCCATCCTAACTTAAGCAACCACCTGGTCCCACCAGCCTATTAGCTCACAATGACAAGGACAAAGGGAAAGGCAAGCAAGGTACTCATTCCCATCGCAGACGCCAGCCCCAGGAAGCGGAGGAAAGGAGCTCAGCCTGTCGAAAGTAATACCACCTTACTGGCCATCAACCAGATCAAAGAGCAGGCGAAGCACAAGCACAAGCATGCACAGGCAACACGCAAAAGCTATGACGGGTATGTTGCACGTGGGCAGACATGGCTGAAGACACACTTCAGCAATACACCAGATACAAGCGGCAGCACGGCAAAAGAGCAGGACAGCGAATCATCAGAGTCACTCATGGTTGCAGTTGGTGACGCTTACGAGGACCCAGCGTTTAGGGAAGCACTTGAAAAGACGCCTAACAGGCACTCAGATAAGGCACTTGCACTCTTGATTTCGTACAAATGCTTCCATGAGGACTGCGGGATGAGTACATGCGAGGGCCTCTCAGCGGCATTCAAGAAGCTCTGGGAAGAAGTGTAAGTCCATTTTCTCGAAACTGGTTGCCAATGCTCACTCATGGCACTACCATCTCCCTTACAGGGATGGAGACACCTTCCGTGGCAAGTGGCATTACAACGATGTCCGCCAGCGCTGGGAAGGCAATCCCGTATGTTCGGCAGAGGTGCAAGATATAATCAAGTCCGTCAGGCACAAAACCAACAGTGACGGAGGGGAGAGAACGCACTCGGTTGCAATGTCCAAGAGCTAGTACATGGACCGGATCCTTGCATGGACTGACACAGTCTGCCCGCAACTGACCTACATCAGTCTCATCAGAGCGATCATCACTGGCAGTGACTCCAAATTTGCGGAGAAAAATCTCACCCTGGAATCCCGGACACTGTACACGAAGATTTTGATGAACATGGCATTTAGCACCACGGCCTGGAACCTTTGGACGAGGTGAGTTTGATTGTGAAAAGTTGTGTCAAGCAGCACACTGACTCAGATGTTTGTGATGCAAAGGTGCTTCGAGTTAATAAAGCTAAAAAGGAAAGACCTCGCCATTGATCATTCAGAAGTTGCCGCAGTGCTCAATAAGTACCTTAACGGTGAAACTCTGTCAGCAAAGGACCTCCACGCCCATTTCAAGGTCTTCCTGTCAAACCGCAAAGGCTGGCAACGAAAGGTAGACAAGGGTGTATCTGATCTGCGCTGTGAGTGCATTTAATGCCCAGCTCCTTGTCACTCACTGTCAGACACACTTGCCAGGCAACCGCTATAACCTGTACCCACAGCCCAACATGCCATCCTGTGACTGTTTTTTCTGGCTCCTCCTATGGCTTACATTCCTCGAGTTCATTCACTATGGCCGACCACTCGACCCCGAGGATTACGTCTTCCCTACCATGAGCACAAACGGCATTGTGCAGCCTCGTGAGCACATCTCACATGATGCAGTGCAAGGATGGATCAACGAAGCGACAACAGCAGCTGGAATACCTCATGGACCTAGTGACAGCTTTACCACTCACACTTACAGACGCGGTGGTGCACAGTGGCGCAGGATGTTTGCGCCCATTGGCCAGCGCTGGACATTGGCAAGGGTTCGGTGGTGGGGATCTTGGGCAGAGAACGAGAACGTGAGTGCCTGATTCTGTCTACACACAGCAAATGCTCATTTAAATTCAGCCTGACATGCTGATCCGCTACTTACTCGACGAGCTGCACTCATACGAGAGTGACCACAGTGACGCCCTGTGCCCCACTCAGCGTGAAGCTGATGGATCACTAATCGGTGAACACACCCTTACAAAGCCGGCATGCACACAAGACCTACTGTTGATGCAGGATTCCATCACGGCTGATGTTGCAGGGCTTCGGAGTGATGTCTGCCGTCTCGCAACTGCCCTTACTCATGGTGAAAGTGCAATGGTTCCCACTGGCAGCGCTGGTGAGTGTGGCACCCTCTCTCCTTGACTCCATATTCAATGTTCTACCTCCAGGCAGCTTCACCATCCCACAACTGTCAGCGCAGCCACACCCTTCCTTCCACAGTGCAATGCCTTCGCCACCATCTGTCAGCCCAGCTGGTCAGCTGGTCACTACATCTGTTCCCTCCAGCGCCCCAATCCAAGCACTCAGCCAGATCACAAATAGCGGCACCAACGGCATCCGCCAACTCCCTGAACAGGGTCTTGTGATCCCTGCTGTCCCAGCACAGCGTGCTGATGGGAGCTACCCACCCAGGAAGGAATCCTGGAGGCAGATTGTCCGGCACTGGTTGGAGGGTGACCCCACACGTGGCTTGCATCTCCCCCTTCGAGACTGGCCAGCTGATTGGATCCGAGGCAAGAACAAGGCCCTATTTGCCTCCAAGTATAAGCAGCGCGCTGTGATTGCACTGGAATTCCTTGACCGGTGAGCATCTCACCTTCCCAACCATTCACACCATTCACACAGGCCTGACCTTACCTCCTTGATGCACACAGATATAATGGCAACGAGACCTTGTTCCTGGCCGCCTATCCAGAGGCCAATGAAGGCCATACGGGCCTCCTACGCGCCATCAACCATGCCAGGAAAATGCGTGGGGAACTCCTCCCCCGAAAGTAAGCACCAGCACAGTCCAGCCGCAGTCTCTTCTTCTCTCTCTCGCGACTCACACTACCAGTCTCTTCTTCGCACTCGCACGCACACCAACTCACACTACCAGTCTCTTCTTCTTCACACTCGCACGCACACCACACCTCGCACTCGCACTTGCACTTCTCCACTCGGAAACCACACTCGGACAGTAATACAATCGTTTAATAAGTCGGACACTCCACTCGGACACTCACTCACAAGTAAATACAATCGTTTATCGTTTAATAATCTCATTTTGCCCACAAAGCTCTTTTCATTAATGTCATCCGTTTTCAAGCTCTCGTCATCCGTTGCTCTCTCTTTATCCTAAACCCCCATGTGGTCCGGCAAGCTGATTCTAAGCATGGTGATCCCCCACGGTATCAATATCCATCGGGCCCCAGATCCCAAGTCTTCGAACCCCAATCTTCGACGATGGTATGTTAATTGAGAATGGTGAAATCATTTTTGGTGTTGTCGAGAAGAAGACTGTGGGCGATGGTCACAGCTGGTTCCAAGGGTTCATACATTAACATCTCGCAAATGTCTGTTTGTGTCGGGCAGCAGAGTGTTGAAGGTCGTCGTATCCCATTCGGGTTCCATCATCGTACTCTTCCTCATTTCACCAAGGACGACTTTAGCCCGGAGGCACGTGGCTTCGTCGATCCATCCCATGGCAAGACAGCAGAGACAGGCTACATCCAGCATCGTGAGGCCTTTGAGCACAACTACCACATTAATGTCACGGACGGCAAGAGTGGATTCCTGCCAAATACCAACTACAGATGAAGTTGGATGAAGAATACAACGAGCTTCTAAACGACCACCGTCTTCTACGAGAATTCATATTTCCTCAGGCTGATAGCCTTCATCCTGGTTGGTGACGATCCGCTGACGAGAGAAAGTCAGAAAGTCCAAGCCAACTCATCACTCACATTCACCAGAACCCGCCTATCTCGCTCTTTTCGTCAATGTCATCTGGTTTTCGAGGCTCTCGTCGTCCGTCGCTCTCTCTTTGTCTCGAGCCGGAAGAACCCGGACGCGCGCCTGTGCAACCCCAGGCCCAAAACGGTAACGGATCAAGGTCATGTGAGCTCGCGTGGCGTTTTGGCTGGCCGCCAAGGGTAAATCTCTCAGCTAAGCTCATGCTACTCCCGATCTGTCTGTCTCATGGATATTTGCAAATGGAGCACATTGATATCCAACTTCTCGGCCCCTCGGTGACTTTTCATGTTGCTACAAGCTAGTCCTGTGCTGACATATCCTACAGGACTTAAGACATCCATAGTCTCTCCACAACCTCATACTCTCCACGACGTCCTCGCTCAAGCTGTCGACCGTTATCCGTCCCACGAGCTCGGTTTCATAACATCATCAGCACATGACTCTTCCATTCAGACAAAGACCTTCAGCGCCTTCAACCAATATGTTCGCAACCTCGCACGCGCCATGCTAGAGTGGGGCAAGCGTACAGGCTCAATCGTCGTCGTGTACCTGACGGAGCACGAAGATAACATGGCAGCTGTATGGGCATGTTTGCTGGCTGGCTATGTGCCTTGCTTGCAGCCTGCACTTGGCGCGCAACAGGCCCACAAGGAGGGCCATGTCGCCCACATCAAGAACTTGTTCGGGTCTGCTATCTGGCTGACCAACGAGCTCGGGGCCGAACAGATCAGCACAATTTCTGGTCTGGAGGTGTGCCTGCTCTCCAAATTAAAGGGGTCGGCGGAGACATTCAACGTCTCAGTCCGAGCTAGATGTTCGACAATTCCGATAGGTATGTCTGGTCTGACGTCGCAGCCCTCGATGGGAGCCGTATGCATGGCCCTTGAGCAAACACGATTAGGGACGGGCATCCGCTACGCCGACATCCAAGCGCTAAACTTGTACTGGAGCCAGGTTTGCATGCTCTACGGTTGCTTCGAAGCCAATGTCCGGGCCTCGGATTCAAGTGTCTTTGATCACGAAATGCCAGGAGGTCAATATACGAATCTCATGGTGAGCCTGGTGTCCGGAATGTATTCAGATTCGGCGGCTGATCGACCCTATAGTTCCAAGCGTCACAATTAGGCCTCGGCACACAGTGGACCCGTGAGTATCTTCTTTACCAGTAACTTACGTCTTCTGACCTTCGAATCCCAGAAATCAAGCAGAAATACATCGAGGCCAATGAACTGGTAAGTTTGTCTGCGCGTCATTTCCCACTCCATCTGAATCATTCCCTTCAGTGTGGCAATATCATCAAGGCATGCAATTACCTGTTTAACTCCGTGCAAATTTTAACAAAACTATTAGGTTACGCCCTCATCCAAAGTAGTTGGCGATTTCGCGCAATGGATGACGTCAAACTTGTTCTCCAAACAGGATGTTATTCAACGTGCAGACCAGCTTGACTTCCTCTCTTCTGTTGTGGAGTTCTTCCAGGGTTATCTTGGACAACCTGTGGGAGGTTTCCCTGAGCCACTTCGTTCGAATATCATCAGAATCAGAAACAAGCCAAGAATCGATGGGCGTCCTGGTGCGACTATGCAACCCTTGGACTTCAAGAAGATCAAGTCAGAGCTCCGCAGCAAATTTGGCAAGCATATCACGGATGCAGACGTTACCTCATACGTCATGTACCCCAAAGTATGGCGTGCCTTGCACTCCCGCGATGCATATTCTGAAGTCATGTTAACTCCGTCAGGTCTTCGAAGAATACCAGGGTTTCCTTGAGAAATACGGAGATCTCAGGTAAACCTCATGATGCTGTGTGATGTTCAAAGATGGACTTATCCTTACCCCAGCGTTCTTCCCACGCGGTACTTCTTGGGGCGACCGGCTACTGGAGAGGAGATGCACATCTTGATCGAAAAAGGAAAGACTCTGGTTATCTGCCTGATGGCCGTTGGGCCTGTTGTGGAAGGACGTGCCCAATATGCAACTACAATGATGGCAGGGAGTCTTTGGTAAGTGCATGTGTTTACCCGATACTGACAGTGCCACTGAATATCCCGCTCCTAAACGGTGTGTGATATTGGCTTATGGGCTACAACTTATTCTGATTTTCATTTTTTCAGTCTTCCAAGTTGAGAAAGGGACGTTGGAGGTCAAAGCCGACGAGGATGGGAGTGGAAGTGAGAGCGATGGTGATAGTGAGAGCGACTCTCTGTCGAGAAAAGTGAATCAATCTCTCTTGGCGTCCATCCTTCACTAACGTTCGTCTGATCTTAGTCGGGGATTATCACGCCACTTACTATGTTCTGCATAATCTGTCCTTGATCGTTACCGGAAAGCTAGAACTTTTGATCATTTATACTGGTCCCTCGCCCAATGACTTCATGGAGCGAAAAGTTTGTGGTCTTACAAACCTTCTGATTTGGAGCTTACAATCTCGCAGGCTTTAGACATTCTTGCTACATACCTTACATCATCGCCTGTTGCCCCTCTGAACAAGGAGTACATCGAAACCGAGCCGCCACTCTGGTGAGTATCTGGTTCATGATTCGGTGCGGTATTAGATCGACGACACTCCTTGTAAGTTCGTACATCTATTTTAGCGAAGACACTCGCGTGACAATGGTTGATCTACCGATCTATATTGGCTCAGTCCCTGTTGAAGCGTTGGATAACTTCGACGAGAAGCTATCCTGATACAGTGGTCGCGGACTTTAGAGGAACTGAGGAAATACTGTACGTATCATGAAAGCATGACATGGCATTCATTTACAATATGACCAGTGATGGATCCCACTGGAGTACGGATATCAGTCACGGGTAACGTTTTGGACATACCCAAGCCAAGGAGTGTCTGGTCTAAACACTTTGGGGACCTTCTACCGGTACATGTTTCTTTGTCTAGCATCGGCGGCATCATTTCATGATCACGCAGGAATCCAAAATTGCTCCGTTGAAGCTTACGAGCCACACGCTTAGTGAATTGGGTAAGAATCCTGCAACCAAGGTGCAAAGAGCTTTTGTTTTACGGCTCTGCAGCATTCTTACTGGTTCCTGTTTTTAGGCTACCGTGGTCAGCTTGCCAACGATCGAAAGCTCGTTCGTCAGCCGCACTACGAAAGCAATAGAAAGCTTCCTCTGGGTAGGTGAACACATTGTGAGCGGAACCGAATTCTACTTATTATATGTGTAGCGTTCTATCCGAGGCTCAGGCCTTGCGCATGGCGCCTACATAACTGTAGATAGAGAAGCTGGCTTGCTCGCATTCTCCCTCTACCGGGTATGCGGCTCTTGGGCGAACGGTGAACTTTTTTGCTGATGCTCTTGCAGAGTTCCAACAACCTGGAAGCGTTCAAACAAGCAAAAGAGGTCGTTAGCGGACTAGTTGATGGGACTGTACGTTTTATGTTTTCCTGATCATAATATCTACTGATCCAAATCAAGGTGGCACTGGAGGAAACCGCTCTTGATGCAGCCAAAAGTAGCATTGTCTATGGCGTCACCAAGAATGTCGCAACGGCTGGCCGAGCTGTACGTTGTGTTCATTCAAGCTATCCAGATTTTAAGTACAGGCACTATATGTTGCTCAGCGGCCAGAACGAGCTTAAATTAAATATCTCTTATGTGATTTACAATGTCTGAGATATACCTATGTATGGTACTAGTGTCTAGGCTGAGCAATTTTTGCGATGCTGGAGTCGCCTCCTCACCAATACTGCGGTTGCCTAATTTGGTTGTAGTCGGAGTTTGAAAGCCTTCTCTGTTGGCTCTGCAGGTTGAAGTGCTACCAGACACCTTGCTTGAGCTACATTCCACCATAACTCTCACGCAAGACAAGGCGAGCCGTCGGTGACGAGACTAGTAAGTCCGAGCCAAGTCTTTGGTATTATTTAGTCATTTTTTGTTTATCTATGCTTGTACGCCACACCCAAATACTTTAATCGAAATCGTTGACGGGTTGAACTCACCAAGTTCGCACCATGCCACGCACCAAAATGACGGCTCCGAGAGCTACTGGCGGGCTTGCCCCTCGTAAGGGGTTTCCAGCCAAAATTTCACTACTAGTGCGGCGGCCTGAGATGGAGAACCTGCCTCATGGCAGCCTTCAAGTTGCGAAGGCCGCTACTGGTGGCGCAGTACCACCTCAAGTCCAAGAAATGGCGCGTTCTTACTCAGTCGCGGTTGTTCAGCCAGAACTATTCAGAAACGAAGTGAGTTATAGTCAGCTCTATGACAGACAGACTGATATATTTCCATAGTTTTGTATGCTTTGCCAAGATGGCGCACGCGACGGACATTGCATCTACGAATGTGATGAGGATGGCTGCCCTCGTGGCATCTGCACTGGCTGCATATTAATCCCGGGTAGCTCCCTGAAAGAGGTAATGCAGCCCACTGTTGTATTTCGCTGTATCCATTGTCATACGGCCCGCGATAAAACATCGGGGGAGGTCACACCGTACTATGTACGTTGATTTATTTGTACTTATTCAGTGTTCTCCTCAATCCCACTTATTTAGGGATTCTATTTGAATGGCAAACCCATCCTCCCGTCATTCTTGCCCATCGTTGGCCACTTGGAATTTTCCAAACGTTCCGAAATATCCGCAATCCCCGTCCTAATAATTCATTTCAAAATTGTCGGCTCTGAAACTACCGCGACCCCCATCAATACGGTCCACTCATACCTTTCGCCGTACTTCTCGAATGGCGGTCTCCGCCTCGTCGATGTAGAGTTTGACCTCGGTACTGCGCGAAAAAGGGATGCATACTCTGAGAAGTGTGAGACACTCGTGAAACAGGTAATGGGGGACCGCAGCTACCAGATTGTGTGTATTGCGATCACTAATCATACAAACGACGAAAACGGCGACCCCTTTCTCGGATACGACAAAGAAACCAAAGGCAGCTATATCGCCACCACTGTTCCTGACGTGCGTATATCTAGTTGTATCTTTGTTAGATCCTAATCTGGTCTCTTGCAGTTCATCGATACTCTGCTCGACCCATGGAGCAAGGTGCTTCAGTCTGCGAAGAACACTACGCTGTTTTTCTTCGGATGTGGAGCCCTTGTTAATTACCCCGAAAGTTTTGGTGGTTTGAGTTCGTCTGCTGGCCGTCACAAGCTTACGTCCATAGTGGCATTCACCGCCAAGCACTTCCATCCATCCATCACCTGCCACTTCCTGACGACATTTGCTCAGCTCGTACTTATCGAGCGTTTTACCCTGCGCGAAGCTTTTCCTAGTATCCTCGAACAATCAGGACTGGGGATGCACACCGAGGTCATTCTAATGACCATGCCAATGATCCCGTCTTCGGACAACAACCCAGAGTGCACTCGTTTCTCCTTCGCCCACGCGAAGGCCCGTCCGTGGGGATGTACACTTCCCATGCAGTGTGCCCAGTGTGGGTGTCCGACTGTGTGGAAACGAATCAAGGCCAACGCCTCGGAGATGTCTGCGACCTTTCAGTGTTCATTCAAAGGCTGTGGCAAAGGGGCTGACGGCAGACGATCTTTTCCCGCATCCACCTACACCTGCAAGGCTCCAAAGGGCTCAAAGTTGCTTCCGGGGAAAAGACGAGATGTCGCGTGGTTAGAGATTCCTGTTCATCCTGCAACTGGCTTGTTGCGGCACGCAGAGTGATACTGACTTAGAGCGATATGACTTCAAGCCTGTGTACGCCGATATTTCATGATTCGGTTAAATTGATTGCTACCAATACTCCCCACTCTAACTTGAAGTCTTAGTCGTCACGGCGGTAGTCTAGTTAGCGAACATGTAGCCTCTAATTCCAACCAGCAAAATACTGCAGACATTGTATGATTTACTTCCCATCGATGCTCTAGTACCTATAGTAAACAAAGAACGACAGATAGAAGAACGCGATTCATTGTAATGAATCCATGAGTTAATGTGCGCCAAAGAGGGACAGTACGAGACACATCAAGGTGGACAACGCATGTGATGCGCATTGGACGCGTACTATATATTGCTTTGACCACGTGTTCGCAAAATTACTGAGTAAGCCGTTGAAGTGAGGAAGGAGCCGTAGTCACGCTGACTGCAAACGGTTTATCGGCATTGTGTCTGGAAAGCCATGAAAGGCTTATCAGAACAAGGAAAAGTGAGAATAATCGGCAACTTTGAGAAGAGTGCGCTACCATACCTGTCGTGTTGCGATGGCACCATATCACGACTTCGTGGTGGACTTTAATGACATTATACATATGTTTAGCAGTGCCAAAGTTACTTTTCACGAGAAGGTCTTGGATGACCTCGAATAGTATCTTAACCTGGAAGAAAAAAGTAAAAAGTAAACGACGTCGAGAGAAGTGCGCTAACCTACCTTGCGTGTTGCGATGGCACCATGTCACAACCTCGTGGTGGACTTTAATAGCATTATACATCTGTTGAGCAGTGCCAACGCTCCTTTTCACGATAATGTCTTGAATAATGTCGTAATTTAATATATAAATCAGGCAAAACGACAATGCTCAAAATAATTGGCATAAGTAAGCTATCACCCCCCATCTGTTGCAAAGGAGGAATGGGATGACATCGTTGTGGAATGCTCATGTCACTCTACATTTACAGGTGTCAATGGCTATGTATCTACAACTCCAATTTCTCGCAGTATATATGATATTATTTAGCAGGAGCAGAATTGTATCCTTCTATAGTTCTCACGGGTACAATATCAAGGACTCATCGGTTCTCTGATGTTAGTCTTGTACGAGCTCACGCCCGTTGTGCCTTCGGCACAAATCGAAGGAGCACTATGCGCTCCTTCAGGGGAGGAAAATGAGTGTTGTTCCTTCGTCACAGGAAGCCAAGGAGGGCGTAGCCCTCCTTTGGCTTCCTGGCCTCAGGCTGCATCCTAATAAATTGTGCATTTTGAATGATTTTCCCATTTTTCCCTGCTTCCCATCTCTCATCTAGGGATCAGCAGGGGTATGGGAAACCCTTGAGGGTAGGGGTAGGAATTTGGACTTGAAGACCCCTGTACCCCTGGGAATATATCCCCAAATTGATTACCATAGGAGTGATGGATACATATAAAATTTTGAAGTTGTACATTTGCCTTCAAATGGTAAAATATATGTGATTGGAAAAAGTGTTACCCTGAGGTATACCCATGGTATCTATCTCTGGTACCCTTCAAAAACCCACACTTACACTGTGGGTGATGGTATATTGGTAAGTAAGGGTAAGGGTTTCACCTCAGATACCCTAGGGTATACCCATGCTAATCCTGTCTCCTGTCTCCTGTCTCCTGTCTCCTGTCTCCCGTCTCCCGTCTCCCGTCTCCCGTCTCCCGTCTCCCGTCTCCCGTCTCCCGTCTCCCGTCTCCCTCCGTCTCCCATCTCCCGTCTCCTGTCTCCCGTCTCCTGTCTCCTGTCTCCTGTCTCCTGTCTCCCGTCCTCTGGTTCTCTGGTTCTCCCAGTTTCCCATTCCCATTTTCCTGTCCTCCCATTTTCCAGTTTTTGAGTTTCTAAGTGATCTTTTTCTCCCTTTTTTATTTTTTTTTTCATAACCTTCTGTCATTCATCTCCCAATCTCTTTTATCTCATATTTGTTTTCCCCCTGTCTGTCATTGTATTATATGTTGTTCCATTATTTGCTCTATGTATACTACCATAACAATTACAGTAGGAAAAACACTCAAATCTAATCACACATCTCCCTTGCCCTGCTCAAACACATATTTTTTCATTATTTAATGCCATGTACACATACAGTTACCAAGGTCGTGCTAAGTTCCCAAAGGGCGATGCTATTTGAGTCGGTGTTCGAAAACACGTGACAAAACCACGCGAGCTGCCAAATCGAGGTTAAGCGAGGTAAGCGAAAACCACATGGCCTTTGGCGAAATACATGAAATACGCGCAAACCACGCGAGTGCAGCGAAAGTTCCCGAAACCGTTCTACTTTACTTCTTAGATATATCAGTGTCACCGTCCAACTTGACGTCGACAGTCGAGCGCGCTAACAGCTGCTGGGCAGTTTCATTCACTGCTTCCATTGCTCTTTCTGTGTATCTATTGCTTTATGTTATTACTCTCGCTTGTTCTATAACTCCTGGACCAGTCAGACTTGGACCCTTCACTCAAGATGCAAGGCTCTGAGGCTTCGATGATTCTCGACGGTGACTTGAATTGTTCATTCGACTCTGGTTTCGTGGACGTCACAATGGGTACAGCTTCTCCACGACCCTCACAGCACGAGCGCATCAAAACTGCTATCAAGATTCTCCGAGACGGGCGCATATCCATTCTTGACTTTATGTCTACAATCCTGGATCCTTCACAGCTCGATTTCGCTGTCAAGCACATGTTTAATGCGTCGAGTGAAGGTCTGATCCTGTCGCAGGAGCCGTGTGAGGCGTGGAAGGTGACCATTGAACATTGATAGTTGTTCCGGTGAAACAATGAGGTGAGTAAATTTTCCTACGCGAATTGACTGGTAGCAAATGTTCTGCATTAGCTCCAGCGCACTAACGACAATGCACGACCGAGCTTTGGTTTTACCTCCCAGAGAGCTGGATCTGCTGCAGTGTCCTCATTGATCGAGATCGTAGGAATGCCATATTTTGTCGATTTGAGAACCTGTGATAGTGAAATTCTACATGTTATGGTGCACGAAGTTGTTACACTTGGACTGAATTACCTGGGTGGCCTGCAGACATTTGAGTGGTGAGATAGTCATGCTAATGGTGCCAGGGCGGAGCAGAATGGGAATAATGATGCATAAAGTCTTCCCACTGCCTGTTCCTGCAGTAATCACACTATCTTGACCGTTCAAAGTTGCAAGAACTGCTTCGAGCTGAAATTGACGTGGAACAATGATGGTTGCCGTCAAAACGAACACAATCAAGCACGCGCGTAATGCGTCCATTCGGTCGATATCACCGAGTGTCTGAAGGTAGTTTGTTGGGAGCCGGTCTTGAATAAGATCATGTGCAAAACGATCCAGCACATCCAGTGATGCAGCACGGATGCCCTCTATGAGTGAGTGCTGGTCCATGAATTTCGCAAGTGTATTATGTAAGGCGCGTCGCGTTGCGTCAATAGAGAAATTATATTGTTTATTTCCTATTCTACGCACAGCTTAAAAAAACCTGGTTTTCTCATTGGCCAGACATCACGTTACCTTGGGAATGCTCAGTATCTGAATTCAAACCCAGTTTTACCAGTCTACATCATGGGACTGAACAGTATGCGTGTGGAAGAGGGAGATGGGAAAAATGGTCCTCGAACCACTCAAAGTTGGCGATCTGGCATACTCGGTGTCGTACTCCCCGGATGGGGCAAAACTAGCAGCAGGCACAAATTGGCACACCATCATTTGGAATTCAGCAAGTGGAGAAGAGTTGCTGAAAATAGAACAGTGGGCATGGTGAGTTGCATTCACTCCAAATGGTCTCTGTCTCGTTAGTGGAAACTACAAAGACATCCGAATATCAGATGCTACTACCAGAGACATCATCAAACAGTTCGACGCCCCCACCAAATTGTTTACCTCACTAGCCATTGCTCCCAATGGTACCAAATTAGCCATCACATCATACGACAACACAATCCGGTTTTTTGACCTGAATATTTTCGAACCCATCAGTGAGCCACTTGAGCACCCTGATGCTGTCGTGTGTGTGGCATTTTCCAAGGACAGCAAACTCATCGCAACTGGCTGTTGGGACGGAAATGTTCGCACATGGACAGTTCCTCTCAGCGGGTCTGGGAAGGAGCTCCAGCAGGTGAGTAAATGATCTTGTCATGTCATACTTCACGCCTGCTGACCTGTCATATAATCCACTCAGAAAATTCTCAATGTACGCCGTTTTCACGCTCGTTGTTTTGTAGAATCCCTCATTCCAGTCCTGCAGAAAACTATCCCAGACCCACGACCTCGCCCAAAACGCGCTCCAATACCGACTAATAGATTCTTCGATGATGCAAGTCCATATGATACAGTAGATTTGATGCATGTCTCACCATCCTTTGACAGTTTGATCCAACTGAATGCAATAATCGCGCCAGCACTACGTGCAACGCCAAAGGTTCCACAATCAAAAACATGGTAGATCGTATATTTTCTCGCTCCTCTACTTCCCAGGACCAAACTTCTCGCCCACTCAGGGTTCCCCTTGTGGATGTCTTTGCAACACGAGGCAAATATGTAAGCTTTCCTGACTTTTCGACATCCATGTAGTGACATTGATATTGTCTCGCAGCAGTACCGCTAATGCCCACAGTGGAAAAAGGCACAAGTTGTTGAAGGCACAACGTCCTCCTCGCAGTGCCTCAAGCAGCAGCACGCCACCAGCGGAGACATCCAATGTGGGCAATGAAACTGCGCCAGCAATGTTACAGACTGGAAATGCCAACACTTATGTTACAACTAACCACCCTTCTCCGTTGGACATTGAACATGTTCCAGGCATTAACTGCTTTGCAGTTCTTACAAGGTGTTTCCCATGTCTTTCCGGAACTCGACCGATAAGTCCTGCAGCTCCACGCACCAGTTAACCGGCCTCTGTTCCAAATCTTTTTGTTGGAGTAGATAGCATCCATGTACTAGCTGTTTTAAGACACATGCAATTCGATGTTGCTCCCAAAAGACATTGCTTGACAAATAACTAGCACTTCGTCCCCATCGTGTAGCATCGGAGTTGGTCAACCCAGTGTCTTAAATGACTGGGGCATACGAGAAATACGATACATTGTAAATCATGATCAAGTCATCGACGCTAAGCCAGTTCAATATTCTTATACAAGTCGTGATCAAGAGACCCTTCCGGCCCTGCAATCTGCACGAGTTGTGACATAAACTCTTGGCTCAAAGAACACGTATTTCAAAACTTCTCAATGCCGTTACAATTCATCTTGTTGATATTTATCCGCTGCTGGCCAATGATGTTTTTGTTAATGTTTAACTCACCAAGACTCAACCATCTGTCAACTGCCTTCTGTTGCATCCCTTGTTAATTCATAATCAAATATATAACCTCTGCGAGATCTGCACGACATTCGGCAAGACCGTTCACCATCTATCCGAGTCCATGCCCTATCGATCGCGATGAGTATCTCTGACCCGGCATAACGGGGCTTAGCTAGCATCTTGCTTATGTTCAGAACGCATTTGATCGAGTTCTGCCACTGGCCTGTTTCGCCGAATATGACGTCAATTTGTAACAAATTTGCAAAACATAGAACCATGTAGTAGTTTTGACTGGGTGTTGAACGTTGAGCTCCTGGTACAATAAAATTTGTGTGATAACGAGTATACGCGAAGCATCAAGAAACAGAGACGTGTCTTTGTGCGAGAGTGACTGAAAGGGAGAGAATACGCATACAAACCATCGACAAGCCTCCAAGACCATGTTCCAGCCTCATCGGCATTCAACATGTCTCGAGTGCATTAGCATATGTTGTTGATGTGTTCATGAGGTTTGACGGTTTGAAGTGTCGATTGTTGTTGACTGCTGCTAGAACATCAGAGAGGCGATGGGGGAGATGATATGCCATGAAGGGAATCGTGTAGAGAATGTGCAACATACTGAAGAAGGAGATGTGATTGGAGAGAAGAGTAGTGCAGAAACCTTGAAGAAACTGGATAATATCCAAATGCGTGAGCGGTTGGTTGTTGAGGTTAACTGTCAGTGGGGGGCAAAAATGCTGTTGCGAGTGGGTGAATCAGTTCGATGAAATGCTGTGCTTAGTGACTGCAAAATTAGAGGAATCAACACCATCATAGCTTTTCACATATTCAATATATTCAAAGACGAGCATATATGCGTAGGAGTACAATATTCCTGCAAGGGAATGAGCGCATATACTCACCTGAGGCGTCTCCGCATAACAGATGAATGGTTTTTTTAGCAAGCGCATCAGTACTTCAGTAATTAACGAACCAAGATATGGACACACCATTCAATCTACCAATTCCACTCGACACTCGGACACATAAAATAGCAATACGTACATGTAATATGTCCTGCAAGAGCATATGCTCAAAGGGATGATTTGAAATGGAGTCATAGTCTATTATTTTTAGACTTACTGTGACAGTTGGTTTGCGCATGTTTGGTTCATGTTAAGACGAGTCTGTCATCAACGTTGTCAACGTTGGCCTCGGCCGCCATCTTGAGCCGTCGACGCGTCCTTCCTGGACAATTCAACAATGTTGCAGCCCCTATCCACCATGGGCATCTCGCTATTAAGGCCTCTGCTAAGCACTAAGCTCTCAGGATCTATATATCTGCGCGGCTCAAACCAATTTGCTCAGCACCTCGTTTGATATATATAGCTGCTAAGAATGCAGAAGCTATTCATTTCGTTGTGAGTTTTCCAGAGCTCGTTTGCTTGCGGAAATTTTCCGAGATTGGGATGATCCTACCTAGTGTGCAGAACAGTGTGTAGCTATAGATTGTGAACGGTTCACGAGTTTAGTGCAACACATTGATATGCATAATCTATACTTGTCACAAATCATGGATTTCATCAAACTTCCAATCACATGCACTCATAGATTGAATACCAGCCTTTCAGCGCCAGTCCTACCAGCGGTGCTTTTTGGATGATGGGATTTGTTGCGATACTGGTACATACAAAGTACATCTCCCCCGAGCTTCAAGAACAATCGTGCATGCACCCTGAGCACTCCACTCCATCATCAACCAGTGCGTTCGAGACAATGCGACTGGTCCTCTGAAGAGTTTTGATATCGTGCAAAAGTGCTGTGTGCCTGGCCCGGAGGACCCCCTCATTTGCTACAAGAGCATGCGTGCATAGTGAGCTCGTGTTGCCAGCTTCCGTCAGTCCTCGAGATTGTATAGATGATCGCGAAGCTCGATGACGCCATCACATACATCTTGGAGGAGCATTCTCATTGAAGGAATGACGATCCTTGATCCGGGGCGCTGATTAAAAGCATACTTGATGAACCTGTTATGGGCCAGACCAGCTTGGGAAGAGAGGGTTCAATAATTGGACTCTTCGATGTTCAAATTTTGAACGTCCAAGTAAACTAGCCCAGCATGATAATAAAAATAAACTTCAGTCGACGTACGACAACGTCCTCATCAACTGCAAAGGCCTCCCAAACACTGGTACACCTACACGCAGGAGCTCATTTCACTCTCTGCAATCTGCAGCTGGCGTTTTCTGTTCAGTTATGATCATAAGGGATCCTTCCGTTGGACGCTCCACTCATGATCCAGTGGCCGCCCATGTGGAGGTGCTGCAACAGTCCTTTGACGCACACGCTATATGGTCGATAGCAGTTTGTTGGCAGTTTATATGCTTAATCCCGTGCGCATATGGGCCAGTCAGCTCCGTGTCCGCATGGCCACCAAGTTTAAAATCGCGGAATTAATTGCCCTGCAGTGCAGTAGTAATCAGGAGAAGCTATGCAATGGAGCGAATTTCCCACTTTCAAGACCCAACGATGCTGGCAGGAACGAAAAATATCATGTTCCTCAGCCCGACTTGGAGGTCCTACCACCACAGCCAACCAACATCAAGCGATTGATTCGTTACATTCGTGTTATCACTTATTAGTACAAGATAAATGTAAGAGATCTTGGGTCGACTGACTTGGACATGGCCGGGCAGTGACAACATGTTGAAACATAGTGAAAACGACCAAGGCGCCTACCGAAGAAAACTCCTGAAAGAGGCGCTGAAGACGTTGCTAAACCGTATGCAGGACAACACGTGTCTACAGCAAAGGGTTTGGCGATAGTCAGCATCTTACAGAAGATGCAACTTGATGACTACTCACCATAGCACATGTAAGTGATCGTTGTTCCCTCAGTATTCAGTATTCCTGTTAACTGGGACACCGAACAAGATTGAATGGCAGTCACCACCCACAAAGCATCCACAAAAGCGCCC